TCTGATATTAAATCTCTTGGCCAGGCTTAGAAGTTAACAATAAACATGTGGAGGACTTGCTCGAGAATCATAAAAATGAGCTCAAGAAGGAAGAATTACAACTTGATGTTTTGGTAGGAACGTGGTCTTCGTTTTAAACAGTAACATTTTTCTTTTCTGTTCATTATTTTCGACTTATGCTCTTGAATCCTCTTCATGCACGTAACGTAAAATTAAGTTTTCGTCTACTTTCTTTTGTTTTATATTTAATATTTTTATGTTTAATAATTTCCATTAGCTTTGTGTCATGAATCTGTACTCAAAGTAACGTTGTAAAGTTTAAGTAATTAGTTGTGATCCAGTAATTCCTATGGAGAAAATACTTTCGGTCTACGAATATTTCGGATAAGGAAAGGCCTTCCAAGAACGAACTAAATTCGATTAGGTTTCACCGTATATTTTCTACTTAACTGCAATGCTTTTGGATAAGACTTAGAAGTGTCACTAAATCGAAGATGGTCTTTCATTAAAACTTATTCTTTTATCGATTCCAAGTAATAATTGGTTCATGCAATATGGATATTTGGAGGTCATAGCACATTTTAAGCTTTGCATCACTTCAGTTTTTATTTAAATACGGACATACTAGTATGGTACCTAATTTATTATTATTCTTCATGTTTTCCACTTTGGTCCTGATATCTTTGTAAGAGGAAAGAATGAAGAGAAAGATCAGATTTCCCCTTATGTAGAGCCAATATCCAGTTTCTGTTTATGCTTACCTCAAGCCAAAATCTAGTTCACCTTTAAAATTCAGGTTAAAAATTTCCAACAAATGTTGAAATCTTTGAGAGTTGCGCATACACAAAAAACTGCATGTGATATGACATCGGGAATCATCAGATTATAAAGTTTTCTTAAATTCGCTTTTGTGAGAACTTGAAACTGATCAACTATTTTAAAAAATTGCTATTTTTGCTTCTGCTGTATTTAATGCCGATCTCAGGCTTAATTTTATATGTATTCGTATTTCGAACATCGTTCGGAATTTTTAGTAACGGTTGCAAATCTTTTTGTTAGTTCGGAATAATGATATCGTCCTTAAAATGCTGCTGAAATGTCTGGGCAAAAGCAATAAAGTATTGGTAATTTGCAATGAATTCGATTTTCGGTAACAAGGGGTAGACACAATATTTTTTGTACTTTTTTAACGAGAGCCAGATTTAAAGAATGCATTCGGTCTTGGGTAGAGAAATAAAGAATTCTAAACCTGTATTTGACATTATTAGCCAAACTGAAAATCTGAGATGAAATGCTTAATAAACAGTCTTGGAGAAAAAAGGCAGTGCAAATAGTTTTGATCTTTATTTTATTTAAAGTAAATTTTATTGGAGGTGAAGTAGGCAAAAATTTCAATATAATAATTTTGCTAAGATTAAACCATTTCACCGCTAGGTATGAGTATTGTATACTAGAAAGACACAGCATAAAACGTTTTAGTGAAGATTTTCAGGGCAAAATTAAAAAAAAAAAAAACCTTTTATATTTTGCCTGTTTCATGCTTGTTGATATGTTATCAGGGGTTTAAAATTTGGAGTTCTACGGAGTTTGATAGGGCACTAGCTTCTTATCCTGATTCTAAAGTTGGTTATTCGGACAAGATATAATGATTTAAGGTCCATTGGTTTTGCGCTAAGTAAGTACCAAAGAATGCAATTGCTAGTCTGCCATATGCTTTTGTGATGTAACAGTCGAGGCATATCAATACGGTAATTAGAGTAACCCAGCTCGTTCAAGAAATGAGTGATTATTTTTTCAGCGATTTTCAGCTTTCAGACACTGTTTCAAATTGGTGTTTCAGCTCAATAACCGTGAAAACACTGTTTCAACATTTCCTAGTACCTAGTATCGAAAGTGAAAGAGATGTTCTATTCACCGTTGTCTTCCAGCGCATATAAGCATAATTGTGTGAATAACGAGGAGATAACAATTTAGTCTCCTAAAATGAAAAAAAAAAAAAAAAAAACTTTAACTAAAGCGAGCATATAGCAGTAGTGATAAAAAGGAAGAGACAGAAGATAACTTATCGCAAATAATATGATCACGCCATGTTTAATACTTTTGTACAGAATTTTGTGCCATACTTCAACTATTTGGGTAATGCAATTTGTGAAATCTTAAATCACATGTATATGTTTTGTACTTATCGTATTAAGTGATTTTTTGTAAAGTTTGTGCATTACACTGCATTGTGTATGTGATCTGTAAATAAATTTGGCTTCCCTAAACTAACCCTCTCTTCCCACTGAAAGTTCTGGTTTTGTGCAGTTCGCGGCCTATTCTTTGGATGCTCTATTTAACAACGAAATATTTCGCTAAATGAATTTTTGAAATATAAATTACGAAAGGCCGTAGAATAGCTGAATAAGTGTTTATTCGCAATTTTTAATTTTACTGAATTCGTCTATCTAAACACGGTATTTCCATCTATTTCTTGAATCTCTTTTGGTGCTGCCATTTTTTGATTGCTTCCATAACTTCGGTTATTTAAAAAAAAAAAGAGAGAAAAATGAGATGAAATTGATTATGTGTAATAACGTTTTCTTATAATAAATTATCATTTGCACTTGAAACACTCGTATTTCCTCAAAACCGGAATTTAGGCCCACCGATGGCCGAATGGATCGGAGTATTAAATACTAGTTGTTCAATCGGGGTTAGAGCGTGACCTTTCGTGAATTTAGTTCCAGTTGGCCGTGGTTAGAGTCCCACAAACTGATAGCAGCATACTTGTTTTTGCGAATTTTCTCATGGGTAACTTGAATGTAGACAAGTTTTCTTTCGGAACTGCTTCTCGAAGGCATCTTTCCCTTGCAAGCAGATATTCTTCCTGTGATTTGTCTTATTAGATTAACAAAAAAAAAAAAAAAAAAAAAAAAAAAAAACTTAAAAATTTAATATTTGCATATTAAATTTCCTGTTTTACTTTGTTCTCACCTCCCAAAGTTTAAGGGAACTTTTTCTTTGCTTATTGCATTTTTACGCAGAACAGCACTAAATTTTCAAATTTTATACTTATAAAATTAGATAGGCTTAAAATCCTCCACGAATGCAATCTTCCCTAGCAGATGATGCTGGAGTCTTCTGTCGTAAATAATTAGCGTTACCAAAAAGGTCGCAAACCTTACTTAACCTTCACTATCATAAATCGGCTTCTACCAAAAATAGCTATCAGACGTCATTTCATTGAATATTATCATGTTACTAAAAACGCGTTTTATGGAGGAAGTTATTCGCTTGTCACACAGTGGTGAACGTGATATGCTGACCTGGCACCAATTTACCGTAACATTTTCCGATTTTAAATATATGGAGCACTTCGTTTTGTTCTCGATAAATATTTTTCCCTAAAGCAAGATTTCGAAAGAACGCTGCGGCGAATCTGATTTCCAAGATTTAAGTTTGTTTGTTTTCTGATGGTTGTTCTATTTATAGGCGGTAAATCGTTAAATAGAACCTTTTTAAAAATTGAGTTTTTAATATTAGGTCGCTGAATTCTGATTATTAAGTTAAAAGCTTAAATAAAGCTTTTCCAATTTGATCAGGTTTATAACCAAGCATGACTTGGTTGGCCATTCATTCAATTTTTGAAAAATATTAAGAATTTTAAAGCACTAAGAGTAATACTGAACTGTTTTCCCTTTTTATCAAGCAAATGTTCATTTATATAGAGAGATGAAATTGAATACACTGTCATTTTCTGCCTCTAGGATGCTTAATGATATTAGTAATATATAACAGCATATTATTTACAAGATCTTAGAAATCTTTCTTAATGCAACTACAAAGATACCCTTAAATTTCATACATATCAAATTATTTTGTTCGTTTAATGCTTATTTATGCCTACGACTAGCAATTAATCCAAAAAAAATAATAATGTTTACTTTCTTGATCATTGAATGGCTATACAGCATGATTTAAAGTGATATCGAAATCCTTTTTGAGCATTTTTCTCTTGTACAGCGTAAATACAGGCCAGTTCTCCTCAAATAGCTCTCGCTGTTCTAAAAGCTATCTCTCCTCATAGACGGATAGCAGTAATGTATTTTTTCATAGAAGCTGATCAATATCTTAAATTGTAAAATCCTAATATCAGCGAATGAATTGTCTACATAGCAGCTTTTATGATTTTCCTCGAGTATAACATGATTACAAACCAATTGCTTAGAAAATCCTCCACCAAGGTAGCCGTTGCAAAGGTTATCTGCCTAAGCATGCTTATTTAATCATCCAATGTTGATAAACCTTCCCATTTTGTCCCAAATTATGGCGTCTTTTAAATATGCTTGAAATTTTATTGTGAATTTAGCAATTTACATGCGACCTTCAAAATCACCGTGTTAAGGAATAACCCTTTAAATTTTCGTTTTATAGCTTAAACGTAAAATGGATAATCTTATATCAGTAGGAAAGTTAATTTGATTGTATTCAAACGACAAGCAGTTTTGTTTTTATCAATAGTTCTAATACAAAGAACAATAATTGCCGGTTATGAACCTTAAATTGGTAAACTATGGTGTTAACTGTAACTAAAATAAATCTTCCAACTAGTTAAATAAGATGCTGAATTCCTTCCCCCCCAAAAAAAAATGGCGGTCGAAGAGTAAAGTCGTTGAATACTGGTATTTCGGTACGAGGTTCGAATCCCGGCGGATGGGCCGGTTGCATTGGCGTTGGTTTTCTCAATGTGTAACGTATGTCAATGTATTCAAAATCTACGCTGATTTGAAGTTGTTATATTCTTCATCTAATTAGAAGTCGTCCTGTTAGAACATGCAATGAACTTAACCATCGCTGGCTTTAACAGATACTACATGTTTAGAATAAAACATTATTCACGCTTTCAGACCTTCCTTTGCATGAAATATTTAGTTTTCTCTAGTGCTAACTGCATAAATTATATTTGCTTAAAAGTTTGAACAAATTCACTTATTGCATCTGACTTCTTATCGTTTTAGATTTGTTTTGTGTCATCACTCCACACACGATGAAGTTTCTCATTCTGTTGTGTCTTCTCGTCTCTGTTCTCGCAGATGATGCAAAGAAAGAGGCAACCACAAAAAACCCTTCTAAACCAACATCTGCTCCATCTAATCCGTCCGACAAGCCTCAATCATTTCAGCATCAATCTTCTCTCAAAGATAACGCAAATCAACACATAGATTCGGAGCAAGATGCCAGTTTCGCCAATACTTCTGAGGAGTATCGACAACTGAGCTCTGAAGAAGTTAAGCAATTACTTCTGAAGGTGGTGGATGAGAATATTGATAAAGACAAAGATGGCTATGTCACAGCCGATGAATTAAAGGAATGGCTGCGGATTTTGCAAGAAAAAGTAATACAGGATAATGTCAACCGACAATGGGCGTATTACAGTCCACAAACAGAGGACGTTTTATCTTGGGAAGGATATTATCCAGAACAAAAACAAGTTGTCACTTGGGAGAGATATTTAAATTACACTTATCCCGATGAAGGTAAGTTGGATACTCTGTTCACAAATTTTCTAAATTTAGTTTTAGTTATTCTTTAGACAACATAGCTTTTTATAGGATTTTCCCTTCATTGTTAATTAACATTTCCACTTGAAATGCCAATTTTGCTCTGTTTGGAGCAGAAATGCAAAATGTATAGAAAGATTTTCCCACTGTCTTAATTTCTTAATAGGTACTTTTTGCAATGAAGATTAAGGTAAGGTTAACGCAGTGTGTTAACGAATGTTCTATTTCTTCACCCCTTCAAAACCATTGTGTACAACATTACGATAGCACACTGATTTAATTTCTTTAAGTTAATTGACTATTCTAATTCGTGTTTCACAGATTTGTAATACGTAGTTTGTATTACAAATCTGTGAATCGGTATCTTTTTTTCAAAGTTCCGTACACAATTCTTAAAGCTATCCTTCGGATTACGTTCAGTTCTGGAAATAAATGTACAATTTCCAAAGAACAGTTTCAAAATATCGGATTTTAGGAATTTTTCTGAAACGGTGGTACTAGTTTTTTACCACTAGATCAATATGCTTTTAATATGAATCAATAATTTGCTCATTATTTTTAAGACATGAGTAGAATTTAACAGAACATTTTCGAATTTTACGTTACGAAGAATATTCCTAAAGATGTTAGTTACGTTATTGCATAATGTCAGAACTCTGGAAAGCGGTGTAAAGGAAGGACTCTTTTGCAGAGGACTGGCTTTCATTTCTCTTGTAGTACATCAGAGATTTCGACATCGCTAGGCAGCTAACCTGTTCAACCACCAGGGGAAAAAAAACTTAATAAGAGTTATCAGTGTTTATCCGAATAACTGTTAACCCCTGTCAATAAGCTTCTTGACTATTGACAGAGTATCACCAGTCGAATGAATGAGATTAAATCTGCAATTCATCTAGGTTTGCATCTACTCAATGGCTAAACAGAGCTTCTGTGATACTTTTCCTGCGGGTAGCGTGGGCAGAAACTAGTTTAGTTTAAAAATCTCTCCACGAAAGTAATCTCTTCTGAAACGGATGCAATTTTTCTGTAATAAATAAATATAGGTCTTTAACTTGGTGCAAGTCTTTGTTAACTTTTAAATGCAGTCAAATTGAGAAAGCCAATGCCCCCTAGAGCTTTTAAAATTATTCATGTTGCTCTTCTTTATCGCGTATTCTTCCCCTTTTTTAATTAATTTTTAATAATCCGAAAATCGGAAAGTAAAATTATGCGATTAATTTAGTTTCCGAAGGAAGCGTTTATAGTAAGAACATAATAAATGAAAAGTAGTTGCGGGAAATAAATTACTAGTAAATATCACAATACTATTCTTTGAAAGAAACCTGCATTACAATAAAAATACACAGTATATTAGCATTAAAATATCTGACTGTTATTGAGCCGGACACCTGCGCGACGTGTCCGGCTCAGTTACCTTGTAAAGCCCACGGACACCTCTTAGATGAATGAGAAGTCTGGTAAAATCACGTTTGGAAAGTTTGAAGTATGAGAACAGAGAACATCTACTACGTCCTCTTAGCTTAATGAGGAATGTGTACAAAATTGGTTTAAAATAATAAATGCAAGAGATGATAAAATAGTTGAAATTTTATTACAAAAATACAAATACAAATTCAAAACCCTGACTTAACATACCGTCTTTTTCCGAAAATAAGACACTTGCTTTCCTTTTTGGTCCAAAATACGCGCTAGGGCTTATTTTCGGGGGAGGGCAAAAATAAAAGTATATTTATACATTTTTATTTAATATTTATTTTACACAAAATACAGAAATTTAAATTTATTCAATTACAGTCATGTCATCTTCTGGAACATCGTCATAAATAAAATTCTGAATTATATTCTGATTTTCTTCCAAATCCATTTCCTGTTGAATCACCGGTCCGAATCTCTCATGTCTTGCGATACAGCTATCGTTAAATGAATACTTCTTGTCTAAGTAGCCTGTTCGTAGTTCATTGGAAACATCACTATATCAGTTATTTTGTCCCATAAATTTTTTACTCAATTCACAACTTCTTGTAAGCCTGGTTTTACAAAATTACCTCGGTGATTTCTCACTATTCTGTTTTCAATATATTCATTGATTTCCATCCGCAAATGATCCTTGAATGGCTTGTTTATTGCAATGTCAAGTGTCTGTAGGTAACCAGTCATTCCTGCCGGAATCATTATTTGATTAATCTTCCTCTCAGCAAGAAAGTTTTTCATGTCTTTAGCGGCGGTGAGTACTGGCTGAATCCCAAACTAGTAAACCTCTATTCTGACCCCTCAACAGTGGTTGGCAGCATAAAATCAACCCACTTTCTTATAACTGCTTGGGTGCACCATTCTTTTTGTCACATTATTTTAACTAGGGATTATTTTCGGGGAATGTCTTATTTTACAAAAAGTTCCGAAAATCACGACAGGGCTTATTTTCGGAGGATGTCTTATTTTTAGAAAAAGACTGTAATGAAAAAAATACAATTTACCAATGGACTAACTCTCGCAGGGAAAAGTGTGTACAGTGGAGGAAGGGGAAAATTCTGTTAACATTTAAAAAAATTTCAGAGCCTAACGCTAAAATACTACGGGTGGAAATACGTTTGGAAATATACTATTTTAAATTCGAGAAACTTTAAAGCAAATATTTTGAGGAAAGTTTATGAAAGAAAATATTTTAATTCGCCTTATTTATCTGTTTAATAATTCAGCAATAAAAACGATATTCATTTGTTACGTATCGAGAACACTTAAAATGCTCAAAGGCTTCTATCTCTAGACGAAATCTAACTATTATATTTTTGACCGAAATATGAAGAATTAGAAATAGAATCGCAATTTTGTCCCTCACCAGGATTGCAGCCATAACTGCAGATTGTTTAGTAATCGGTTTGTACTCGGATTGGTGTGCTAATATTTTTTAAAGGCATCGCATAATTTAATGTATGATATCGATAATGAAAAATGCAGATCAATGTGACAAAATATCTTTATTAATACTAAAAACTGGTTAAACCTCTGAAAACTTAAAATTCTATAGAAAAGGATTTCACATCAATTTATTTAAACCTTTTACACAATACCATTATTTCTTGCATAAAATGCAGCAAACATTTATAGTATAATAGGTATCTTTATTTAACTGTGAAATTTAAATTTTAAATTAAACCACATTTCTGTAAGTCGCACTACTTCATTTTAAAATAGAATTCGCATTTTTAATGCATCTAGAGCTTTCGTCGTCCAGTTTTGCAAAGCGAACACTGGGACTTTTTTTTTTCTCAGGTTAACTACTTTAGCAGATCATTTCCAAAGGTTCTAGACAGAAAGAATGTAAATTTTTCATTTGAATTATAGCTCAAATTAATAGAATTAATGTTGAAGACACGATAAAAGTTCAGGAACGGATGCTTTAGATATTACTCTTCTAAATCATTCTTGTAAAATCTAGCTTTGAAATTTTTGAACTTAATAAAACTTAAACAACGGAATTTCGAAAACTGATAAGTTTCCTTGTGCTCATACTTTATTGAAGTTTTTCCCGAAATATTCAGCTTTTACGCAAATCTGAGAGTACAAACTTGCAATTTTATATCTATCATTTAAAAACTTCCATTTCGGTTATAAAACGTCTGTAGTGCAGAGCGGAAAAATCTTCATAAATTTACAAATATATTATAACCCAGATGGATAAATCCAAAACAATTCTCAGGCCCCCCTTTTTTTTACATAATTCATGAATGAGCTGTTTCTAAGAATTTTTAACACCCTAAAATAAGCCTCTGTATCAGTTTCAAAAATAGCTGCTTGCCCTCAAAATGTTCTAATGTTACCATTTGCTTGTGCCTCACTTGACCTACTTCACTTTGGTAATTTAGGCTACCATTTTTGCCTGTGTCTCACTTGATTGACTGACGTCAACCAATATAGTTATAATTAATTTTCAGTAATATTACTCACAGTGGGAATTTTAAATCGGTCTTCTTTTGTTTCTTGAAGCTTTTCTTTGGTTTTAACAAAGCTTTCAACACTAGGATTTCTTTTAAGAAGTATTCCTTTCGAACCATCTCAATCATAAGCTTACTTTTCAGTAAATATTTTGGAACGTTAAAATGTCGCTTATTGCGTGTTCTTATTTAACACTATGTAAAATACCATCGCACAAATGCTGATTTGCTCCTTGATTTGGAGCATAATATCGAAGGAAAAAATTTCAACTGTTATTGTAAAATTTTTTAGTAAAGGAAGCACTGATGGTGGGCAATGTTTTCCGAATTTTATTTACTTCTCTTATACTTCCTTGTCTCATCATTACCATAAAAATTGGGTCTTGTATATTTTTCTGGCATTTCGTGGTCTCTGACCTTACTGACGCCTATCTTTATAAATGTTGTCTATACTCTTAAGATGTGGGGCATCTTCCTCGCAAGAGCCCCTGTTTTTAACTAGGTGGTACGTATGACATGACTGGAGGTCACGAACCTTGACCGCTTTCGGTGGCGTTGCTCTATATCTCCAGACACTACGTAGAACTGGTTTCTCACTCTCCCGTAACAAAACACTGTACCTCCTTGTTTCACTCATCCATTTTTGCTCCGCCTCGCGATTTCTTTTCTTTTTTCCTATGCAGTTGTTTTATTTTTCAACTACATAATTCAAAAATTTCACTAGATTTAATGTCTCTTATCAATTTATTGAGCCGTTCAGCCACCCAATGCACTTAAAGGTATTTCAGGATTATAATTTATGACATCGTAGTATTTGTTTCCCAAAATACATAAGAATCATTTCATTTCTGAAATACCAGTTGTCTATATTTATAATTCTTGAGCAAGCCTAATTTCTATTGAACGGAAAAAAATGCACATAGTACTCTTTTTCTTATTTTACCTGCCTCAGTTTAATGAGTTTGCTATAATTTGCGAGTGCTAATTTACATTACATGTGCACTGAATGAAAAAAAGGAGCTGTTTTTAAAAATGCGTTAAAAA